GTGTAAACTAACTAAGAACTTTGGATCATAATAACCCAGTCTATTTCTAATATGTAGGGAGTAGGGAATTTTAACTTCTCAGTTTTCTCCCGGGCCACATGATTTTAATAATTTAAGTAACCAGAATATTGAATTATTCCATTTTAAGAAGCATGTATACATTTCATGTTTTCAACCATATCCTTAAAGAGAATTAATTTTAATTAATGAATTAATTACCTTATTAGGCAGCAGGTATTGGTACAACATGTGCTTAGCATGTGAGTGGCCCAGGTTTCAATAGTCCTAGCATTAAAAAAAAAATATTTTCCTAGCTTCATTGTTTTTGTGAGATTTATCAGAGCAATGCTGAGTATGTTGAGGTGAGAAAAATAATTTATTTTATTTAATAAAAATATGTTTATATTATATATATAAATATATTATTTATTTTTTTCAATTAAAGATTGTACTTACCCACTTAAAAAAAAAGCAAAAACAGAATTGACTGACTTCTTTGTATTTATTTAGACTTTTTGTCTTCATGAGAACACAGTACAAGTGAACTAAAGTTACATTCTAGAGGTGACCTGCCATTTTCTGGCTCTCATCAAAATAGTTTCAAATTATATGTTGATGGATTTAAATGGTAAAACATCCTTTTCTATGCTAAAGACAAAATGATTCCTAGGAGGCAGTCTCCTTCAAAGAGCTCCAAGCTAACAGTTCAATAATAAAAAAAACAATGTCAGTAAAAATAGCATTTATTACCTATTTATGGTCCAGATCCTTTTTAAATTCTGCCTTCAATCTCACAACATCCTTTCAAGCTATTCTTATTATCCCCCTTTTAGAGAGCAGGACAATCAAGGCTCCACATTAAGGGGATTAACCAAATATTTAGAGCTTGCTGAGTGATACAGCTGGTATCTTAACTCATTTCTGATTTCTGATCTCATCATCCTCATTATCATCAGGACCTTTCTCTAGACTTAACTGTAGTCTCTGGGTGAACTAAGAGTGCTGAGCAAAAGGTAGTTTTGAGGTACTTGTAATTGAAGGGTAGTCACACGGTGGTCATGGGTGCAGTTGGATGGCAGAACGGCAAGAAACTTTACAGACGTGGTCTTACTTCTCACAATTTGGAACATCTCTTCTTTGCTCTTTAAAGCATGCTAGCCCTCTCATTCACATGCGTGTCACTGGTAAGCACAGAGAAGGCCAGGACACTTCACAGCCATCTACTGCACGGCACGGCATGCGGTCCTCATTCCTGGGAGGTTTCTGCTTGGGTCTGGTCCCCTATTCCTAGAGCCAAAGAAAACAGCTTTGCATGTCCAACTTTGCTTTTATTCGTTCGTTTTTGACATGCTGGCTGCCACTCGACCCTCTGAGCCAGAACCACAGTGTCAAAGATTTCGGCTGTCTGGCAGTCTAGTGTTATTTAACTGTTCTAATACGACAGCCCACCCAGAACCAAATTAAATTGGAAGGCCAGCTCAGTGTGGTTAGCAGGGAGGAGAACCTTCCTAGAATTAGATTAAATGGGGGATATCAGCTGGATCATCTCCTGTAGTGCCAATAATGCTATAGTTTAAAGCTTAGGGTGTAAACTCTAGAAATATGAAACAATGGAGAAAAGTGGTATTTGCAGGACTCATCAAGAGCTTAAATTTTTTTTTTTATTAATGTTCATTCTTTGTGCATGGTGATGAATTTCACAAAGACATTTCATTCAGGTCAAATTCACTTGCGTACTCTGAATTCCTTCCCATCCCCTTTGCTAGTCCCCTCTCTTCCTCCAACCTCACTTCTGCTTTTCTGTTCTATGCTCACATCTCTCTCCTCCTCACCCAACTCACGTATGTTCATACGATTTTACATATATAAATTAAATCTAAGATCCACAAATGAGAGACTTTATTGAGTGTTTGTCTTCTCAAGTCTGGCTCATTTTGCCTAATATAGTGATCCCCAGTTGCACGTTTTCCTGCAAAAATATATAATTTCATTCTTCTTTATGGCTGATAAAACTTGATTTTGTGTATATATACCACACTGCCATTCATCTGTTGACATAATTCTTACAGTGTAAAAAAAAAAATGCAATTAAATTGCTTTGGAGAAGAGCATAAAAAGATGCCTGGGTGAATTCTTGAATAGCAGCACTTTCCAGGCCCAGATCTCAATTGCAGAGAGAAGGGGAAGATACGTTCTGGAAGCCCATAGAATAAAATGCTCTTTCCCATTTCAGTACTCAGCAGCTCCTGTAGGTAATGCTGAGCAATTATTGAACAAACAAAACAAAAACGGCATCTGCTTGTGAACCACCAAGTTGTTGCGATCAGTCTCAGTCTGAGCCTCCAGCCACAAGACCTGGATGCTGCAACTCACTTTTATGGCTGATGCTCAGACACTTGCTCTTTCTTGTCCTGAGAAGTGACTTTTGACTAAATGTAAGTTTCACTGTTGTCATAATTATTGGCATATCACATTTCCAGGAAAGGATTTCTGATAGGTTAAGTGAAATACCAAGGATGTTCAACTAGGACACCTTGATGTCCTTGATGGCTTCTCAAACAGCACCCTGCTTCATTCCTTCATATCATTCTTTGAAAAGGAAACTAACCTTATTTTAAAAACTCTAACAGTGGTCATAGAAGATGAGAACTCATCTAATCATGTACACTTCCTTTCGAATGAGTCCCTCTGGTTGCTAACTGCTGTATTAGGGATACTTATTTTTTAAAAACATCCAGCTTCTGCTCAGAGGAAGCAAACGATATTAGTACTCACCCCCACTTCTACAATGCATTCTCAGTGACTGCTGAGAAACACTTGAGTGTCTTTAGTGACTATGGTTAAAAGAGACTTACACATCCTTTCTCATTACAGTATTTCCACTGTACTTCCAGTTGACCAAAACTTTGGTCCCTTGACCAGGAGCATTTCTGCTAAAGGTGTCTCGAGAAAGGGTTTTTTTTTTTTTTTTTTGGCCTGGGATCTTATGAGCTCTTCAAAAGCTTAGGGCAGAGGAAGTTAAGATAGCATAGGAAATAAACCATTTCTATATGTCACATGAAAAGTAGACTTACGTTAAAATTCACTGAAAATTTCAAATTATCTGCAGGGTATCAGGGTGGCATAAAGGACATTCTCAAAGTCCTAAATCAGCAGTGATTTGGGAGTGGTGCTGTCCTAGACAAATTCTAGCTGTCATCTCTTGTCAGCCTGGTTCATCGGAATAGAATTGTCCACTTTTTCGGTTCAGGTTGATTTTCTTCCTAAAATCATTTTTATTAATTTTCAAGTTAGCAGACAAAGCGAAAGGTTTCTTTGTGGCATCTCCTTATATGTCATTATCCTGCTCTCATTCAATCCTCTCCGATACCCCCTCTCTATTCCTCCGCTCCATCTCCCAGGGTTCCCTTGTTCTCCCAGTTAGTCCCAACATCTGCTCTCTCTCCCCTTTCCTTTTTAAAAGTTATTTATTTTTATGTGTATATGTGTATTCCCGCATGAGGTTTTGTGCGCCATGTGCATGCAGGGCCTGCAGAGGCCAGAAGAGGGTGTCAACTGGAGTTACAGGCTGTTGTGAGCTGGTGTGTATGTGTGTGTGTGTGTGTGTGTGTGTGTGTGTGTGTGTGTGTGTGTGTGTGTGCGTGCGTGCGTGCTGGGGACTGACTCTGGGTCATCTGAAAGGGCAGCTAGTGCTCTTGACTGCTCGGAACCGCTGAGGCATCTTTGCAGTCTCCACATCTGTTCTCTTATTCCATTACCCTTTCTATTTCCTGCCTGCCTTCAACTCTTAACGCAGAATTTCTTTGGAGTTTTTACAAGGGTAGAATTCAAGACAAAGGTATTTTCTGCCTCAACCACCTATAACGTAACTACTTTACAGCATTGTTTCTTTTTATTTTTATGCCTAAATCCTACTGTGTAAAGGGGTACAGGGTGAGACGAACTCCCCTGGGATTTTTCCTTGTGGCCCTAATCATGCAGGTGCCATTAGCTGACTTCTGGCCAGTATGGATGGCGCTGTGAGAAGTCCATAGGGCCGAGTGCTGGCTGGAGAGTCATAACCCACTGACGACTATTCAGACTCATGCACTTGACTTTCTGAGTGAGACAGCCCCGTGGAACCAGAAGGAGCAGATGTCTCTCCTAGTTTTACTTGTTTCGAACTGACAAAGTGAATCTTGGGAAAGACCATTAGGTGAAGTAAGAGAAAGCAAAGTGAAGAGTAGACTGAGAAGCCCCCAAATTGTTCCCGCCAGAGCTGCTCATTGACCAGAGCCTGCTACCAAACCAAACCAAACCAAACCAAACCAAACCAAACCAAACCAAACCAACAACAAAGCAAAACAAAATCGCAAACCATCTGTTTTGCCATTCTTCATCAAGACAAGTAAACTGTGGGGGTATTGATAACTAGGAAGCATAAGAAATACCACCTATTCCATTTTCACTATTTTAAATTAGCCAAATCTAATTCTGGGTGTAATTCTGACCTATGACCTGTGACACACCAAGGTTTAGGTATCATCTACATTTACACTTAACTTTCCAGAAAGTATTATTCCTGTCTTTTGGCAGGATACTCAATACACTTGAGACAGACAAGGGACATTCTTTGGGAATAGTAGTGTCTTCCCCCCTTCAAAATGTTTCATGTACTGCAAAGTTGCCGCCATATGGTTTCCACAAAGGTTCTGCCAAAACTCCCGGGGTTCTCACGAGAGCTCCTTCCTCCTCTGTTCTTTTAAGCTCCTGCTGCGGTGGCAGACATGGGAGAGACAGGCAAGCTGCGAAGGGAAGCGATTTCAAATGAAAACCTCACAATCGCGCTCGTGTAGTTGTGGATGGGGGGGGGGGGTGGAGTGGGTCCCTCCTTCGCTCTGCTTCATGAGGTGGGTGTGAGATCCCACAGGACTGTCTGGAAGAGATCCCGTGGAAGTCACTGTATTTTGCTCAGAAGCTGGAAGCAAAGCAGAAGGCAAGTTAAAATTTGTCTGTTGTAAGGCCTGGGTTGGGTGGCGGGAGGGGCGGTGTGCTGAGAGTTCAGAAGAAGTCCTCGGGGCTTTTGACTGTCTAGGAAAAAGGGCACAGTACCTAGAAGTGACCGTGAAACCACAGAAACAACTCACCACCAGCATGTGGAGCGGAGCGCCATATAGAGACAGCACCACTCTGGTTATGTGTTGTGGCAGGTGGGAATCGGGGAGCAGGCTTTGTGCCTGAGTGGGTGCGGGACTGGGTTCTTGTCTCCTTTTACAGTATTGTGGTGATTGCTTGGAGTGCCTTCTGTTTCCCAGGGAGCTGTATTCCAGCGGCTTTTCCCACCCACCACCCGAGACAGTCTGTGTATTTAAGTGAGGGGCAACTTCCTTCTTTTAAAACTTGCAAATTCCTTTTGAGGGTGAGCAGCAACCTCTCAAGACAGGCTTGTGGAGTCTGTGGATTCAAAACATATGCTATACTGCTTGTTAAGTTTTTGAGTGTACATTGCAAAGTCGATTCCTTGAGACAGATGAGTATTTACTAGCTGTGTTGGATGGGGATTTGCTTTTTAGACTTTGTATGTGTTAATTTTTTTATCTTTATTAACAATGTATACAAATTATAGGAATCACCTGTTTACATTTTCCTGTGACTGTTGGATGTAGGAGAGGGGAATTTGTAGTTTTCTATGCATTAAAAAAAAATAAATCATATGAAAGCTTTGGTCTGGTCTTTCAGAACAGATGTCACTTCCAGCTTTGACCTGATGTCACCCCTTCCTAGTTGTTGTATTGTTTGGCCCATCCAGAGAAAACTCACCACATATGTCAGAGACTGACAAAGTGAGATAAAGGTCACCATGGAATAGCATTCACACTGGCCCTCACTGTATCTGTGCCAGCTCCTCGGGTGACCTTTCCCCACTCTGGGAGATGTTTATCATTGCACTGAGCTGTGGGGTAGAATTTGCACGTCCTTCCTGCCCCCTCTGCGCAGAGTCAGTCCTGCATTAGCTTGGAGCGCGTCTCTGCTGCAGGTGGCCTGCGGCTTCTACTTGATTTGACTAGACAGTGAAGAGCTCTCCGTCTTCCCTCCCCCTCCTCTCCCCTGTTAGAACGGTCTCTGCATGTGTGAAGATGAGATAATTAAATACATCCTGGAAGGAGATGGAAAACAAAAACACCTTCTGCCTTGACTTCTTCCGGGGAGTGCAATCCCTTGAACCACCAGGCTGTCTTGTCAAATGAGTTATTGTTTTTCAAAATATAGCCTGAATGGCATCCTTTATAATTAAGGCTTCTGGCTTTCAGTTTAAAGTGATATTTGCCAGTAAAAGCCTGCCAAAAAAAATAAATAAATAAAAGCAGGCTTACCGTTAAATATTGATTTAAGCTGGGAAACGGGCTCCGAATTCTGTTATCCCAGTCTTGATCTCCACGGCCTCTGGGCATCTGTTTCAATTTGGTCCAATTGAAATGGGGAGGAACAGTGCCAGGCTAACAGCAAGGTGATCCAATATAGCAGGATGAGTCGCATTTGATGAAAAAAAGCCAGGCACAGCCATCTACAGGTCCCGAGCATACGTGACCTGGGCTCAAGCATCCTGTGGGCTGACCTGAGCCAGTGATTATTTTTATTTTTGAAATGTAAAAAGCATGTTGAGTTATCTTGGGAGAGTAATACGGGTTGTCAGTTTGCCTTCTATCATCTGCTCTGAGTAAGCTTCTTCTCCACCTTGCCTGGACAGACCTTTTTTTTCCCCTTGTGCTGTCTTTTGTTAAAAGACCAGAGACAATTTCTTCCCTGCTATGAAACAAATTTCCCAATCACTACACCGAGCTTTTTCCTCACCTATTGAGGGAGCAGATAGGGTCACACAAGACTGAGCTCCTGAATGCACATGCTTGTGAAATATCATTGTTCATCTGTAGGTCTGACAAGAGGAGGCAAACCAGAAGGGGGAAGGCTAAAGTTTCCTGGAAAAAAAAAAAAAAAAAAAAAAAAAGAGGGCATTAGAAGAAACTGAACTCCTCTGCTGGGGCAAAGTGCCCAAGAGCTATTAGTCTTGACAACCCTACTTATTCCAGTGTCTCTTGTTATCTGTGAAGTGAACAGAGGCTGATAAGCAGCGATGAGGTGGGGTACTGGTTTGTATTTCCAGACTCATAAATATTTCACAGTACCATTTTCGTACAATCAGATACGTCAGTTTGCCAAGTGTAGATGCGCCTGGAAGTTCGAGCAGCGCTGTTTAACAAAAGCCTTTTTAAAGGCAGCAGACACAGGGGTGGGGAACACTGAGGTGTGCCTCTGGCTTGCTTGCGACTCTATCTGGCTTTCAAATGCATGTTCTAATTCTGGCAAAGGAGCCGGTATTTGATCTCTGGAAACCACTGCTGTCTACTCAGAGAAATATATCGTTAGGACTGCATGGGGAGAAAAATCATCCATCGTAGCCACACACTCCATTCCTTCTCATTCTCTAGCCCTGACAATGCCCGTGCGTTTCTTTGTACTTCACCCCGTGGATACTGGAATCAGGCACCAAAGGGTGATTTTCATTTGCAACAAAACTCTGTTTTGGGAGAACTGCCTTTACCCACACTTGAGCACAACCACCTGCAATTTCCAAAGGCCCAGTCTCGCCTCACCCTATCCCAGGCTCCAGTCAGCATCCCTCACAGCTAAGCCCACTGCACCAGGAAGAGGGCAGCAGGCCTTCTCCCTGATGTAATCAGACCAGAGTATTCAGACACGACCTGATTAACAGCTCCAGTATTAATTTCTCTTTTTGGTTGCTTGACTCACAGCAAGAACCATGCCAAGGCAGCAGAGAGGCAATTAAATTGATTTTAATCTCTGTCAGAGTAGATAGCATGCCTCTTTCACTTCTCATTTAAATAATTAGAGTTTCAGTAGGTATTATTTCTGGCTTTTAAAAAAATCAGTATCTTAATGTAATAGAACCCTTGTAATTATAAACTTAATGGCTCTTAATAAGTTAATCATGGCTTTTCACTTAACATGTATTTTTTTTTCTTATTAAACTTTTATTTTTCGTTGTGTTTTTGCTTTCATTAATGACAGGGGAACACAAAGAATGATGGATAGAAAACAATCCCATCATTTCTCATCATGAAATCTTCTCAATAACTATCTCTTCCTCCCTTTGTGGTGTTCTGGACTTAAAGTGATATTTTCGGATCTGGGACATTTAAGAGATACTTGTTTCTTTAAACGAACAACACACTTGCTTTAATGGTGACGATCTTTGGCTTCTGTGAGAATTTCCTTATAGGACAATGTATATTGTGAAATTGTGCGGAGTCCCTTGAAACTTAGCATTCCATTAAAGTCACAGAGAAGTACTTTTTAAAATTGCAAGTGGGAAAAACTGTAAATTATGTTATTCCTTTCGGTATTCAGTCAGATATTGGGGACTTATCTTATTTCTCATGGTATTGTGGTAAAATGAATTTTTAAATGTGCATTTCAGAGAAAAGGAAACAGGAGCAAAATTCACAGATCCAGTGGCCTTCTTCGTTAGATGCGGAATTTGGGCAGCAAGACATGTATAGTTAGCAGGTGCCTGAGCACTGCATCCCAGAACTGTGATTAATGCCCATTGCTGCCAAGGGATGAGTGGCCGGTGAATCTCAAAGAAGAGTGCTTAATTCAGACTCTGAGGGAGTAGTGGGTTTTTATCCCAGAGGTCTTAAAGATGCTTTGTCTTTTGGATGCTGAGAACTTGTCTGTCAAGAGGTGAGAGAACATAGTATACCATATACTGTGAGTCCTGGACCAGAAACGTCGGCCTTAGAGAGAGACAAAGCCCCTTCCCTAGCGTTGGAGGGATGCAGGCTTCTGGAGAAATTAATTGATGAAGCCTGAACTCTTGGATTTGAACTTTAGGAAGAGAGCAACTGGTGTACTGAAAATTGCAAAATGATGTGTCTTTTGGGTAGACAGATGACAAAGAAGCACTTCTTGGAATGGCTAGCAACAAAGCAGGCCGGCAGCCTCTCTCTTCCCACGTGTTTCCTCAGCATTTTTGTATGCTCTTAGCTGAATGCTGTGAAACACCCATAAGCCAGCTCTAACCGTTACTCCTGAAGGAAACTTAGAAGTAGAGGCTGGGCCTGTTGTTGGAGGGGACAGAGCAGGTGACCAGCATTGATGGAGGCATCTTAGAGATGGGAAGAAGGACCCGTGAAGTCAGCCATTACACATTTGCCATTTGACAGCACTGGCAGTGTGCTTGGAAATACATGTCTACCCTCCCTTTCTAGTGTGAGCTGAGAACAAGGCTCTAACCGAAGACATGTGTGCACTTCTCTCTAGGGAACATATCTTCAGTCATTCTTAGGGGAGGTGTTTGTTGTGAGACCCTTATGTAACTGTTTTCAGTGTAGACTCCGGAGACTAGGGTATTCAAGCCCAACATTAGGTCGTTTCGGGAACAGGACATTTGAGGCAAGGCTGTGATAAGAGCAGGGTGAGTGGGGAGCTGTTCAGTCCTGTCTCCATGTGGGTGTTCCTGGAGAAGGCCAGCGGGTAGTGGCACTCTCCTTTCCCTTCAGGAGCTGCAAGTATTTTTCCATCTACCCCATTTGACCCTCAAACAAATTTCTTCAGTCAGGTAAAGGGAAAGCCATGGAGGCAGAAACTGCAGCTTTAAAAAGCACGCAAAACTTGAGGGCACGGAAGTAGCTCAACCTCTCAGTAGCCACAGGAGATGGGGATCATTTTTCTTTCCTCCCCAGGCCAGACAAGCACACCTGAAGAAAAAGTATTGCTTCAGTCCTTATTTTTATTAAACAGACAGTAGGTCCCTTAATTTCTCTCATAGCAAAAATGTTAAAACTTTTTGTAAGGTGGGTGAGCAGGTATGAGAGGTAATGAAAATGTGTATGAGTGTAATAAAGTCAAGGACTTGAAAGTATTTGCAGAGAGAATTTGTCTTGGTCTGTCTCAGTAGTATCTTTAAAGCAGAAACCTTAAAAATAGTTAAGAAATTTACTTCCCCACAGATGAGTTTTTCAATTTTTTTAATTTTTTTTTGTTTTTTTTTTTCTAATAATCACAAACTTTCTGCAAGAACAGTGAATACAACTTACATTTCTAAAGTGACTTAGGTCAACTTTGGGGTTCTGTCTTACTTATTCTTGTGACCTCTGTCTCTAGCACAGTGCCTGGGTTAGAAGATTAA